GTGTGTGTGTGTGTGTGTGTGTGTGTGTGTGTCTTTGTCTGTTCTTTAGTTCCATCTGGATCTCCGGTGAATGTGACTGCTGAGGCAGTGAGTTCCTCCAGGATCATGCTCACCTGGTCCGCTCTTCCTCCAGCACAAAGGAACGGAGTCATTCTTGGGTATAAGGTGAATAAAACACTCAAACACCCACAGAGATGCTCAAGCCGAGCGTAATATTCTCACTTGACCCTCTCGGCCCATTATCACTTCCTCCCAACGCGTCGCAGACTCASACACTCAGCTGCACACAGGCGTGCACACACAAAAAAATCTGATCCAAGTTGAACATGATGTAATATCCTGTAACTGTTCCAGTTTGTTTCTCTTACACTGTTGCTTTTAAAAGCTCCCTGCTGCAGAAATTACATTTGGGGGCATACATGTAAGAGTGTCCATGAATATTAGTGGGGCTTTAATCCTTTATAGAAACAGCAGTTTGTGTCAGGTTGTGTGTGAAACAATAGGTGGATTTAGTTTTTTAAAAATGAACAATAATCCATAAAGCCTGTTGGTTTTTTTAAAGGTACAATGTCTGTAATCCTAAAATATAAACGGCGGCTTTGGCAAGGAYTGCAATATTTTGTGTAAATTCCCAGTCTGCAAAGGCTTTGGAAGTTCAGCATTAGTATTTACGACCAGCCTTCCAACCCACTTAGGCAACCCATCCTGCAGTCTGTCCACATTTTTCACGTTAGAGCTCACCCTTTTTTTGTTTTTCTAAAGTGAAGCAGAGTGGGCTGTCGTGTCACGAGCCTAAATGATTTCATAACTGACGTATTCTGATGTGCCAATCTCCAAGAATCCGCACAACCCTGCAGCATTTTATCTCCGTTTTCAGCATCAAGAGAAAAAACACATACCTGTATTTTTTGCAGCGTTTGCTTTTCAAAGTCACACTTAGCATCCATCAAATAAAAGCCACTATATATATTACTGGGAGAAACATCCCCGGTTGTGAGGGCACCGTTGTGTTGCAAATATATAAATTTAAAAAGAAAACAAGCTGTGGCTGTGTGAGATAAACAAGCTTCTTTACTTCTTTTTAATGTATAAAATCCAGGCCATTATGGACCATGCCTAAAGCACATCAAGCCCCACATCTGAGTGATTTCTTGTGCATCGCACTGAACAGCACGTCTGCCATGTTAATAGATGGAAAGTGGCTGCCAGCAGTGACTCTTTAACACCTTCCACCCCCCACGAAATGTTGAATAGTTGTCCCTTCCTCCCGCTGTGCATGACTTATGTCTGTTTTCATTTTTAGACGCTTAAGCTCGAGGTGACATTTTCCTCGACTGGTTTTAAGTGCAATACTCTTGTTYGAGTTCACGAATATGAAAAAATAAATCAGTAATAAACAACAAGAAGAAGAAAGAGCAGTTCTTGACACATATTTTATGCAGGCTGTTCTTGTCTATGAAGGCACACTGTGTACTGATTGTTTTTAGTTGTTTTTTTATGAGTGTTAGTGTAATATTAATTTCAGCATCAGACTTGACTGCCTCAGTGAAGTTTGATAATGCTCGTTATTTTGTATTTTTTGCAGTCCTTATATCCTTTTGAGACTGTCAGAAATGTTTCTTTAAGCCAGATTGTCACAAAGAATGTAATAAATAAGAGCATTATGAGTCAGAGTGACAACACTAATTACATGCAAATGCTTTGATTAATTAATACTTGTTTAAAGGCTTGTTAGGTTTAATAAATACTTGTTTTTTCAAGTGTTCAGTATGTTTTCTGTACTAGCCTTATTACTACTTTAGGACCTAAGTGTCATTGCTCCGTTGGTGCTATCTTGCAAACTCTTGTCCACCTGTTACAACATGTTGCTTGCTTGTATTGAAGATTTTTTTTCAACTGTGCGCTGCAGAAAAAAATTCTTAGTCGGTGAAATAAAACTTTTAGAAATAATAGGTGTTCAGCGCTCGCACATCAAAGTCAGACTGTTTAGGCAGCCGCAGCTCAGGAATTTAACCTAATTTTCAATCAGGCAGTATAAAATCAACGTGTTGCATCATCTCTTGAGGTCTAATTTAGTTCACCTTTTAGAGGGATGCGTGMAAATTCATCTGTGTTGATTTTCTACCCCAAAAATCCTTTGCCTACATGCAGTGGTTCTCAATTCTGGTCCTTGTGACCCACTATCCTGCATATTTTAGTTGTTTACCTGCTCTTCRGCAGGTCTTTGAGTTCTGCAGAAGCCTGCCAATCACTCATTAATTTAAATCAGGTGCGCCAAAGCAGGGAAAAAAAACTAAAACATGCAGGATAGCGGGTCACGAGGACCGGAATTGAGAACCATTGGCATAGAGGGACACAGATGGAAATTTCTGTACCTTTGAGAATCACATAAACATTCAGGCTGTTTTTTAATCTTTTTATACCTCGCTTATACCTCATGTTTTTTTTCTATTAATTGAATAGAATATATCAGTTATTATATTTCAATTCTAACTTTCTCACTTATAGTCTATGCTACAATAAAGTTTGTTGATGTCATGATTCAAATGTACAAAAACAGTTATAGACTACATCTGTGGGAGGTTTGGACCAGATATAAACCTGACTTCATGGGTCCAGATTTTTTTTAATTGATCATTTACATAATGACAGCATAAAGCATTTAAATTATAAAAGTTGTTAGTAGTATGTGCTTTTTTTTCAGTATGAGGTTTCCACAAATTAAAATTTGTATGAAATGAGTATTATAATAAATGATTGTGTTTATTTAAGTTTTGTTTTATTTCTCGTTGTGTACAGGTGTTGTACAGGGAGAAAGACATGGAAGGTCCCCCTAAAGTTAAGGTGGTAGAGGGAGAAGGAGTTTTGACACTGCTTTTGAGTGGCCTCCAAAAATACACAGTGTATGTGCTGCAAKTGCTGGCGTACACACAGCTTGGCGACGGCCCACCCAGCAACCCCATTCTGCAGCAAACCAGAGAAGATGGTAAGAACTACTGGCCTCTTTTCAGTCATGAACTCAAACTTCTTGCTATCCTACAGTAGGCTGTCAAAGACTTGTATATATATATAT